GGGTTCGTTTACTCTAGAAGCTTCCTACTTTTAAGTGCAAGCGGAAGTAGCTCATGGACCAGAAGCCCACTTCCGGTACTACTCCGCGCCTTTCTAAACTGGCGGAGACCAGGTCACTCTCTTCCCACGCCGCACCCGTCCCGGGTTGACCTCTTTCCCATGGGAGCCCCGCCCACAGTAAGAGTCAGTTTCCATTGGTGAAGGTTGGGGTGGGGGGGAGCTGCGTCTCTATCTTTCAACCAATGGATTCCACTGGGTTTTTATAGTTTGGTGAAGTCGGTGCCTCCTCCCGGCAGGCAGAGGGCGCAAGAGCACGTAGCTCGAGGCCGAGGAGGCTGTTGGGGAGGGAAAGTGACGGAAGTGACGTCACCAGACCGGACACCTAGGGGGTTAGCGACTGTAATGGGCAAATTTAGTGGCTGGATGCCGCGCGATTATGGTTCCGTGAGGCTGTAGTTAAGAGCGTCATTTCTACCCCTGACCGCCTCAAATATTCAGATTTTTTTAAAATTGAGAGTCCTGGAAAAAGGGGTTTCTAATATTCACTCGGCGAGAAAGTCCTGAGGTCAGCGCGCTTCCACACTGCTGCTCTGAGCAGAGGGGCGACCGCCGGGGTGGGGGGCGCCCCGTCTGAGGAGTCCCTCAGGCAAGACTCACAGAGCCCGCCTCACTGCACAGATGAGCAGAAAGAAACTCGGAGGGGGACAGCCTGCGTACAGGGACTTGAAAGGGCGGGGTGCCAGACTTAGCGAATAAAATGCAGATGCCCAGTTAAAGCTGAATGTCAGGTAAACGAGTAATGTTTACTTCATGACTATCCCAAATATTTCATGATCCTAAAAAATGTTTCCTCTTTATCTGAATTCACATTTAACTGGGGTGTTCTGTATTTTATCTAGCAGTCCTACCCCAAAGGTTAGGGTTATTCACGCATCCTAGAGTTATTCAGACATTCTATATGCCTGTATGTCTCCTGGCATAGGATTTACTGTGTCGAGCTGAATTCTTTCCAACTATAACCCAGAGGTTATTTACAGCTCCCTCCCAACTTCTAATGGTCACTGCACAATCTAGGGTTATTCAGGAGCTAGGGAGAAGGGGGTCAATGACTCCCTCCTTGGGATTCACAGTTACGCTCAACCCTCTGACTAGTTTATTCAAAAGACCAAGGAACTGAAATGTGAGGAAAGTGGCATGAAATGAGGTCTCTGAGGTGGGCATAGGTCTCAGGCAGTTTAGCTTTTATTGGCATCCTAGTGGAATCCGCTGAAGGGTTTTGGTTGACAGAGTTGGTTCATGTTTCAAAAAGACCTCTCTGACCAATACTAGCAGGTAATTTTATGCAGCAGTTTAACTGTTCATCCCATAGATGCCCGGAAGAGGGTTTAAAATAGATGCAGCGAAAAGATGAGAGAATTCTCCATGGTATTACCTTCCCTGTGCCCCTTCTGAGCTGGTGGGGTTCCTGGGAATGGGGTAGGAGAAAGGGCTCCCAGTCAGACAGTCATATTCTCCATTCCGAACAGGGGCAGACAGAGATGACAACTCATCACTAACCTCTCTGACTGGGCCTACCTTTAATCAGGCTTGGAGGTGAAGGAAGAACATGTAACTGCCAGGTCTTTCCCTCTGCTCCTTCTGAATACTCTGTTGCATTCTCAGGTGCCCTGTCGTGCTTGTCTTTCAGAAGTATGTAGAACTCCATACTCCTCCAGAATTGGCTCTGTCATTCAAGGTCCTAGATGACCATTGCACAGTACACTCCTTGAAGACTTACAGAGACTCATCTCTGCACCACCAGTCTCTACCACAGGGCATGGCCACAGTCTCAATAAATGCCCAAGGAACTGTAAGGCCCCAACTCAAATTAGCATAACTTACTCCATTCTGCAAAGGACTCCATCTTGTCTGGCAAGAAGGCTGTTTTACTTTGTTTTACAGAAGCTGTTTTAGTGAACTCAAATGGAACCCCACTTGCATCTTGTTGTCAATATATTCTTACCTCATGATGTCATTTAAAAAGATTATATAAACTAACAACCACCTTGGCAAAACATTGAGAAACTTACCACCCCAGCTGCTTCCTGGAATAGCTAGCTAAATTATATTTTTTAAAGGTCAATAAATATTCTCTCTATATCTTAAATGCTTATAAACTCCAGCCCTAACCTTATTCTGGGCTGATACCTCTTAGTATTGGTCCCTTTTCTCCCTTGGAAAGTGAATAAAACTCTGCTTCTGCTTCAATTCTTGTTTTTCTGTGAAATCTTTCCCACCCCCATAGTGGCCTCATGGACTGCCTTCCAGTATCATTTATTGAGTATATACTAGGTCCTGGACTGAGTACTTTCTACCCGTCTTAATTAATCCTCACAATAAACCTCTGAGAGAAATATATTTAACAGCCATGTTTTACAAATGAGATGACAGATTCAGACAGTTAATAGATATGTTTATTCATTTGGCATATACTTTGGAGCACCTGCCCTGTTGGGGGTGATGAGGACACAAAGTGAAAAAATAAGGTTCCTGCTGCAAAGCAGCTCACATTCTAGATGGGTTGACAGATGATACATAGACAAACATGCTATGGAGTATGTTGAGTGGTAATAGGTGCTGGGAAGAAAAAAAATGGGAAAAAGACCAGGAAGTGCTACTTTCTAGGCTTCACCTGAAGAAAACATTAGAGCAGAAGAACCTGAGTGAAGTGAGTGAGCCCCACAGCGAATATCATTCTAGAGAGAGGTGACAATAAATCTAGGTCCAGCAGTGAGGTGTTTGAGGAAAGGAGAGGTGGCCTGGACCAATGTGAGAGGGAAAGAGTAAGAATCAGAGGTAAGTTTAATGAGGAGTTAAATGTCACTCTTGGTGAAATGGAGTCATAGGAGTGACAGCATCTGACTGCTGAGTGAGGGCTGATTGTGGAGGGGAAAAGGGAGGAGGCGACCATCCCGGAGAGGGAGAGGTTAGGTATCTGTCTGGGGCAGTAGCATATCTGTCCACCTTCTAGTGAACAAACAAGCATGTGGAAGAGCTTCAGGAGAGGTGCAGGTGGGCGTGGGTAGTGTTGGGAGGAGGATGTTCCTTGGTGAGATCCTAGTGCATGATGGATCTGTGAATGTCACTGCCAGTGACCAGTATTGAGAAGGACTCCAAGGGAGCAAATGCCTGTGTGGCCAGGGCTCCAGGACACCTCTGCTCAAATCTGCACCCTCAGGCTCAAATTCCCTTACCCTTCTCCACATTTAATGCTTTGCTCTTTCTCTTCTGGTGGAAGGACGGAAATAAACAAATTACAAGAGAAATGACTTTTAATGATTATTCTCAAGAAAGTCACATCAATGTTCTGTGTACAACTTTCTTAGAAAAGTAAATTTCACATTCTCACAGCAAACAGCACATTAAAACATGAGGTAGCTCCAGTGAGAGGTATGTTCAAGTTCCATGCCAAGCTGATGTCACTTCAAAAGCCACAGAAGGGCCTCCCACTAGACCTGCCTCCAGTGAAGAAATGAGTTACATCTGGACCTCCCACAGGTCTCCCCAGGGTTCCTTCCGCCAAAAAAAAGGAAGAAGAAGGAGGGGGAGGTGGAGAAGTTTCAGAAATACTCTCACAGGTGGAGGGATGAGTCCAGTGTAGGAATATCTGAAAAACATGACTGTGGGTGGATACCAAAGGGGCAAGGAAGCGACCTTTGTGAGTACTCTCTCAGTCTCTTCATGTCCTAATTTCAGGCTATTCGTTGTTAAAGTACAAAAACTAGGCCCAGCCTTGGTCCTTGCTTTTAGCAAGCATCTAGTTCACTCCAAGCTCATGGCACATTGCCTCATTAGTTGACCCCAAGGCCATGTGCAGGCCCCAGGACTGAGATAATGAAACAGGTTAGCCAGTCCCACCCCAAGAAAAGATCCATGAAGATATGAAAACCATAACAGTGAAATTCCAGAATAGGCACATCCATAGAGATGAAAAGTAGATGTGTATTGCCAGGAGGTAAAGGAAAGGAAATGGAGAGTGACTGCTAATGGGTCTGGGGCTTCTTTGGGGAGTGATGAGTATGTTCTAGAATTGGTAGCTATGATAGTTGCAGAACTCTGTGAACATACTGAAAACCATCACCTTTACACTTTGAAGGAGTGAATTTTATGGCATTTGAATTATATATCAATTTTTTAATTTCAGAAGAAAAATCTTTAGCACCCCGTCCAACATCTGGGAGAAAGTCTAAAATCTGAACTCCTTTGCTTAACAACTTAAATTCCAGGATCATAACTTTGGATCAGATCAGTGTGAAGAAACCTTTGTCCTTGTAAGAACTGCCATTCTGGGGAAACATCAGGCCCCTTGGCACTAGACATGGCAATACTCCACAGTGTGCTAACACTTAATGCCTCAACAAGCCAGACCAACCACAATGTGTTTGCATTACTCTATGGCCTTGCCATCCTGCAGGGAGAGTAAAGATACAGGGTCTGCTCAAACCTCCAAGAAAAAAATGGGGCTGGAGGTCTAGCTCAGTGGTAGAGCAATTGCTAAGCATGCACAAGACCTGAGTTTAATCCTTGGCATCACAAAACAAAAACAAAACGAGAAACAAAAAAACAAAACCCTGCCTGGACCCCAATCCCTTTGCTCTTTAGCATTCCATAGCTGTATCAAATACTCAGTTTTCCCTACTCTAGACCAGACCTTAGGCTGGGTTTTGAGTCACACAGAGGCCATGAGCTTATGAAAGGAGGTAACTCTGACCCTCACCTCACCCCAATTCACCCTTCCTCATGACACCAGGCATGGAGGCCTGTGAGGAAGGCAGAGATGAGTCAGAGATGGTGGGTACCAGAGGGAGATGCTGCCCTGTAACTGGGGCTTGGGAGCATAATCAGGGCTCAAGCAGAGAGCAGGAGTTCAACCATGCTGGGTGAGGAAGTCTTTCCCCAGCCTAGCCCAGATTCCTTTGTGAATGGAACTTCCAGTTTCCACTGGAGTATTAAAAAAAAAAAAAAACCTAAGTATTTATTTGTTTCATATTTACAAAGTGGGAAGAAGACCAAGGTAGACTCCCAAGGATACCCCCACACCTGGCTGACCAGGCCCCTTGCGCTGCAGAGGAGGCAGACACAGCTGGAAGGGACAGGATTTATGTTGCATACTTGAACTACAGCGAGTGTAAGACTGGTCCTATTTACAGGGCAGAAACACTACAGGTGGAGTGTGGGGGCAGCAGAGCAAGCACCAGAGCCCTGGCCAGAGGATGCCTGCTCTGCGCCTTCCCCACCTCTCCCAGAGGCATCTCCGCGGCCCTGCTGGGGTTCTCCTGGGGGGACAGGCCCGCTCACATGATGCTCGCTGGGGTGAAGACAGGGCCCACACACAAGGTGTCTGTGATCTCCCAGCCACAGGACAGAGGCTTGCACACGCCTTCAGCGTCCTGGTCGTCTTCTGCGGGCAGCAGCTGCCCTTGAAGTGCTTCCCTGGGGGCGAGAGAGATGTGCTGGAGGCAGCCATCCTGAGGACACAGGCCTGGAGTTCCCTGACAGCCCCTGTACCTGCAGTCCTGGCTCCATCAGGCAAGGACAAGGGAGGCCTGCTGACCTTTCCTTTCTCATCACCCAACAAGAGAAGGGAAACCATATTTATTGAGCACTTACCATGCATCAGACATTGTGCCAGGCACTTAATTTCCTTTATGTAATTACATCTCCCCCTAAATCCTGTGAGGTAGGCATGACCCTACCCATTTAACTGAAGAGGAAACTGAGGCCAGGGAGGAGCAGCCTACCCAACACCACATCCCCAGCAGGTGGCAGGACTAGGATTAGACCAACTCTCACTCCAAAGCCCACATTCCCCAGGCTTAGGGCTTGAAAATAATTCATTTCCTGCTCCCCTCAGACAACACCACATCCCGTAAGTGGATAAACAGCTCCAGAATCCAACTAGCTGCTCTGGCGACCGCTGAGCCACAGTCCAGGCCCACCAAGCCCAGCTCCTGAGCCCACTCACCCATCTCTATCCCCACTGACAGTTCCATCTCTTGGTCTTCTGATGGGCTCCCTGACCTGCTCTTGCCCCCTCCAGACAGATCCAGCATAGGCTCAGGCACATCTTTCCAAAAGCAAACCCCAGCTCTCAAGCTACCAGCTCCTCCCCTCCACACTCAAGATCCTGGAGGATCAGCCCCAGCCTGCCTTCCCCCACACTCTCAGCCATGTTCACCATATCCCCAGATGTTATCCATGACAGCCACTTCTTAGGCTCACTCAGGACCCTTCCCAGGGCTGTGCTATGCTTGTCCCCTATCTGCATCATCAACCCTCGCCTAATTCCTCCTCAGCCTCCAGGTCTCAGCTTCACTGACAGAACCTCAGGGGAAATAACAATAGGGTTCAATGTCTGTACCCCTGACATCCCTTCATCTACAGCAAGGCAGGGAAGACATCTGTGTCACTTGCTACTGGAGTCCCCCGCAGCAGGCCAGCCCCAGGCAAGCACCACTAGGTAGGAAAGGGTGGCTGCTGGGTGGGGAAAGAGTTCTGGGTTTTGTGTCAGCCTGCCCTTTACTTCTCCTGAGATTTGCTTCTCCACAAGACCCTCTCTCTTCTATCCAGTGCCTCCTTTATGCCTTCCGTACTTCCAGCACATTCCAGCTCCCACCAACAGGAAGGCCTCCCTCCTTTGCTAATTTATACAACTCAACAGCACATCAGCAGCTGGTGTCATACAGAGCCCAGTCAAGCTGGTCCCCTTTAGGGAGGGATCCTTTGGCTGAGCCTCTGTCACCTTATTTTTAAACATGGGTTAGTCCTATTTCTTAAAACCCCTCAATGGCTCCCTACTACCTTTAGGACCAAGTCCAGTCTGAGCCTCCAAGATTCTTCTTGACCCAGTCTTTCCCACATGCCACTCCTTGTGTGGGAACAGAACCAAATGCAGTTCATGATCGAACAGGGCCCTTTTAGATCTCCACCTCTCAACCTGTCTGAGTCTCCTGGGCATGGCTAACTCCTGACCACCCTCTCCAGCTCACTGTCCCTCTCTTCCAGGGGCCTTTCCACTCTGCTAGTGCCTGTGTATGCAGGTCTGTGCCTCGGATCCCCACTGCCTTTGATGATCCTATGCCCTCAGAACTTGGCACAGGGCAGGCACAAAAACAGAACATGTTGGTGAAGCCCCTCTGATACTTCCACTTCAATATTTTAGCATTTTTTGTTTCCCTTAACAAGTGCGGGTGACTCTCTGCAGCCTCATGTACCTGCGATTGCTGATGACAACCAGGGATGGGTAGGAAGCTCTCATAGTGATTGTTCTCTAAGGTCGTTTTTAGGCTTTGTCAAAACATCCTGGATGGCAAAATGGCTACATCCGCCTATCCTGTGCCCCACACAGGATAGAAACAACAAAAGTTTGCTGGATAAGTGATGAAATGCAACTCTCCTGATGCCCTATTGGGCCTTGGATTTGGTGGTGTTCCTGGGGACCTCAGGACATAAGACACACTCAACTCCTGAGGGCCTAGAAACTGCTCCTGCCCTCTGATCCATCGCCCAGGTTGCAGCAAGTGACCTCTCTCAGTGAAAACACTGATCCCCACAGAGCTTTTTGTTTTATTTTGTTTTGTTTGTCTTACACTGGTAAGTAGGGCTGTGTTGTGCCCATTTCCCAGATGGGAAAACAGGCTCAATAAACAGGCAAGTCTTTCCCAGGTCACAGAGCTGCCACCTGACTGACCATCTCTGTGCATCAGCCCTTGACCTCCTTAGTGCACCCAGTAGCTGGAGTGGTCTTTCCAAAAATGCAAACTAGACCATGTCAAACCTCTGCTTCAAACCAGTCCTTGCTTCTCCTTGTACTCCAGTCCTCTACTCAGTCTCTAATGCCTTCCCAGATCTAGCCCTGCCTCCCACTCTGGTCACAGCCAACCTTCATTAGTGCCTTAGATGCAACACACTTGTGCTATGTTCCTTCTGCCCACGCTCCTACCTCCTCAGGGGACAGGTCTGGGCCTTCCAGAGGGCTTCAGTCCCCACCCAACACAATGTCATCCACTGTACTCTGAGCTCCTGGGGGAAAACGCAGCCCCATTCGTGGCCACAGCCAGGTCCCCAGCACAGGCCTCACCTAGAATCAGCAGCTAGGATCTCCTTGTCAAATTGGATTACACAGAAGCAGGGTCTCAGATCTCAGGTTTCCCCATTGCTTCTGTCCAGCCTGCCTCCCCTCACCCCATTTTGCAGCAGAACCCCCTTACCAGGCTACCCGGGACATGGCGTAGGTGACGTGGCAGGCCTGGGTCCCCCCAAGGAGGGATCCTGTGCCCACGGTGTAGGCGCCCATGTTGTCAAAGACCAGCCAGTCCCCTACATGTAGCTGCGGCAGCCACAAGCCCTCAGCCACGCAGTCACGGCCATCAGCTGCCGGTCCCCACAGGCTACTGCTGTACAGGGCTTGCTCTGCAGATGGTTTCTGTAGAAGACAAGGATAGCATCAGCCTTCCTGGGCAAACCACAGCCCGAGCACTGCCACCCTCAAATGCCAAGAGGATAAAGACTGGAGGGGGTGAATTTCCACATTTATTGCTTCTTATACTTGGAAGCTACACTATCAAGTCTAGGTTCTGGTACCTGCTAGCTGTGAAATCTTAGGCAAGATACTTAATCACTCTGTGCCTCAGTTTTCTTATTTGTAAAACAGGAATAATAAGTAGCACTTACTTCATCATAAGGCTACTGAGAGGATAAGTGAGTTAGCATACAGAGAGCATTTAAAATGGTGTCTGGCATACAGTAAAAGTCCAAGAAGTTAGTATTATTTGTTTTGTTTGGTTTGGTTTTGAAACAGGGTCTCAGTAATGTAGTCTAGACTGGCCTCAAACTTGCAATCCTCCTGCCTCAGCCTGCCAAGTGCTGGGATTACAGGCTTGTACCACCATGCCCAGCAAGTTGGCTCTGTTATTTCTGTTGTTACTGTTATCATGTCTGTACTTGGTCCTCATCAGCCACTTTCCAGACCTCAGCTGTGTCATGCCTCCAGAGCCCTGCCCCACCCTCAGTTCCAGTCTGTCTTCTGAGCCCAGTCCTGAGGCTCCCTTTTCTCAGAAGACTTCCTAGGTACCCTCATGCCATGCCAGACCCCTTGACAGGAGTCAGAGTACATAGGACCACCTTCCCTCTGGTGTGTGAGGAAGATGGTCCTCCCACAGATAGTCACAGAGTGGCCTGGCAGAGGTCACAGAGGACCCAAGAGGCAGGCATGAGTACTCCCATTTCAGGGAAACAGAGGCTCTAAGAGGCTAAGGATTTGTTCAAAAGCATAACTACCCATAACATCAATGTAATTTTTTAGATTACTTCCAAATTCAGAAAAGAAATGTGTAGCACAGACCATTTTCAGACAGCCAAGTAATCAGAGTAATTAGTTACAGTGTGGGGCTCTTGCTGGGAAGATCCTAGAAGAAGAGTCAGTACTGAAGGATGGACACAGGCAGAATCTGACTAGGTCCTCCCAGACCCATACCTTACCTTCTACCATCCTGGCTAGCTCCAGTTACTCCTGGTGCTCTAGACTCCCCAGTACTGCTGGCTTCCTCCCCCACCCTGCCTTCCCCCACACTGTTCCCTGAGGCTCCAAACCTGCCACCTCCTATTTTTCTTTTTGATCTCAGAAGAAACAGCCTCCGCGCCCTGAGCTTTGCCTTCAGAGCATTTGCCATAATTTGTAATGAAATATTCATGAACTATCTGCTCAGGCCTGTTTTCCCTAACATGATAAATTCCACAAGCCGAGGGATGGTGTCAGTCCATTTCCCCCCATCTCCTGCACACCCTGCAATCTGGCATACAGTAGGTGCTCATTTCAATGCTTTTTAAATGGATGGATGGATGACATATATGAGCGATAAGAATGAGAAGGAAAAGAAAAAAGTAGACATGAATAAAAGCCATTCAAAAGGTCAAGAAGCAGTACCACCCCAAAAAATGAACAAACAAAAGGTCAAGAAGGAGGCAGTAAAGACCAATGAGAAAAAAGGAAAAACATTCCAATACCTTAGCTAGGGAGTAGAAATGAGTAAAATTGAGAAAAGTCGGTTTTCATAAGCAGAATTCAGTCACATATTTGACAAAAAGTTGAGGTTTTCTTTCTAACTTAGGACTTCCTACTTGCAAAGCAGGCCTCTCCTGTTTGAGCCACATCTCCAGTACATTTTGCTCTAGCTATTTTGGAGATGGAGTCTCATGAACTAGTTGCCTAGACTGGCCTTGAACTGCAATTCTCCCAATCTCAACCTCTCAAGTAGCTAGGATCACAGGTGTGAGCCACTGTGCCTGGCTCATATTTGACAAAAATTTAATAAGCTATTAGACTTATTAATAAAGAAAAGTATGCATCTATTATTAAAATCAATAATGAGAACTATACTGCATTCACCAAATACTTATTGAACATCGACACAGTATGCCAGGCTGTGATACAGGAGCTGAGGATGCAGCAGTAAGCAGCAATGAGCACAAAAAAAATGAGGGATGGTAGCATGGTAAGAATGTGAGGCCTTGAGTTCAAGTCTCAGTAGTGCAAAAAAACCAACTATGGTTCCTGTGCTTGTAGATCTCATGTTCCAGCAAGGAAGGGGAGACAAACAAACAAATCCTTTTTCATCCTTATTTACAACCTTTTTTATGATGAGTAAAATGAGTCTCAATTGCTACGAGTTATCTCCCTTAGCTCCAATCATTAGGAAACATTACACTAACATTTAAAGTTTGGGGAGTGAAATACTCTATAATTGTATCAACAAGGATCTGAGAAAGCAGGTTTTAAAAGTTCTTCCACAATAAAGAGAAAAAGTATCCTTGGGTTTAATAAGTCAGAATTCTGTCACTCATTAGTGGTACAAATAAAAAATAGAAAAAAAAGATTTTGAAATTTCAAAGAAAGAAATGTAAATCTATGTTTTTACTATTTCTTTTTCCAGTACTGGAGATTGAACTCAGAGCATCAAGCTTGCTAGGCAAACACTCCAGCTTTTGAGCCTCAACCCCCAGTCCTTTTTGTTTCTACTTTGTTTTTCAGTCAAGCTCTCATGCTTCCCCTCCCCTGGGCTGTCCTCAAACTGAGATCCTCCTATCTCTGCCTCCCAAGTAACTGGAATTACAGGTATGTGCCAGGATACCAGGCTCTACCTTGAGCCACTTTACCAGCCCTTCTTTTTTTTGTGAATTGTTTTTTCGAGGTAGGGTCTCACAGAACTAGTTGCCTGGGCTAGCTTCAAATCATGATCCTCCTGATTTCTGCCTCCTGAGTAACTAGGATTATAGGCACGAGCTACCAGCACCCAGCTCCCTTACACTATTTAAAGCCATATTTTCTTTAAAAAAAAAAAAAAAAGGGCCAGAAACAGTGGCTCAAGCCTATCATCCTAGCTACTCAGGAGGCAGAGATTGGTAGGATTGAAGTTGGAGTCCAACCCAGGCAAAAAGTTTGAGAGACCCCATCTCACTGTGTCAAATGCTTATCATCACAGCTATGTAGGGAAGCATAAATAGGAGTATTACAGTCCAGGCATAAATGGAAAATCTACCTCAAAAATAACCAATTCACAAAGGGCTGGGGGCATGCCTCAAGTGGCAGAGTACCTGCCTTGCAAGCATGAGGCCCTGAGTTCAACCCACAGTACTGCCAAAAAAAAAAAAAAAGAATCTGCAAAAATAAATTTTCCCAAAGCAAAAAGATTGTAAGTTTCAGCCTCATTTGCTGATAACTAAATGGAAACAGACAAACATCTGTAAAAATCCAAGATGCCCAGTCTGCTGGCCACTGGGCCCCTCTATGAGAAGGGATAAGGGTTCCTCGTTTCCAAAGCATGCCTACCACAAGGTGGGGTGGGGGTGGGGGTGGGGAGCCCAAAACAAAAACTCATTTGTGCACATCCAGGCAAAAATCTAACATGAAACCTTAGCTAACCAAATCCACACTTATAGTCAATGAATCATCTTCAATAATCAGATCATGGAAGAAAAGGACAAAATGAGCAAAGTCAAGCACTGCCTTTCATCACAATATAAGAAATACAGATGTACAATTCAAATTCAGTTTTCCCAATACATGTCAAGATGCTATCCAATAGCTTACTGTATGTAGTCTCTAATTTTTGTAGCCTCTATTTTAATTAAAACTATAGACAAAACAAAGCCCCACAACAAAGACAGACTATTTTAGACAAGGAGCCAGCTCTAACTTCATGGAAATACACTAGAATGACTCCATTTCAGAACCAGAAGCAACCTCAGGAATCAAAGTTCAGCCCCTTTATTTTCAAAATGAAGAAACTGGAGAATCAAGGCTAGAAAGACTCTAACTTGCCAAGGTTGTTCTGTTAGTATATGGCAGAGCCAGGCTTTGAATCCATGTCTTCTGATTCCAAACAAAACTTTGTGACATCATTCATATTTTATACATCAGGAGATATTCTGGCAATAGCTATAGGAAAAAATGTGCAATGTATACAAAATGAAGAAATAAAACATGACATTGCAGATAGCATGTTCATCCACCTGGAAAATCCAAAGGCGGTAGGGTAGTTACTAGAGGAAATCAGTGAGTCTTAGCATGACAAGCCAGAATCTCAGTTCAAAAACACATTACTCACAAAAGTAATGACAGCATTGGTTATTAAATTTTGACATGTGCTTGGGCCACAATAATACTTATTCAAAGAAAATAATAAGACCTTAGTGGGAGAAATGAAACACATGAGCTCTACCCTCTCCAGCTAGAAAATTTTAATAAAATATAGAGAATTCTCCCTAATTTAACAAATAGGTAAGGTACTACTAATTAAAATCCCCAAGATATTTTTATTAACATTGTAAAGCATGTGATAATAAAATAATTGTGAGCCTATCAAAGAATATTAAAAAGCATCTGTGGCCCACCCTAGTAATATCCCCCTTCCCTAACCTCTCCAGAGGTAACCACTGTCCTGAGTCTTGTGTTCATGACTCTTTCTTTTCTTTGCTTTCTGTGAGTGTACCTAATCCTAAAGGACAGACTTAGTTTCGTGTGCTTTGGAAATTTATGTAATTAGAATTATAGAGTATGTGATCCCTGCAACTTGCTTTTGTTGAAACTTCCACTCCAAAGATTCATCCAGTAGATACATAGTTCACAAATACACTGCATAGAATTCATTCATTGTATGAAATATACTGTAATTTATCTGTTACTCTATCAACAAACATTAAGGTTGCTTCCACTGTTTTATAAAAATTTCTTCTGTGAATATTCTAGTGTATCTCCTCAAACACACATGCCAAGAGTTTCTTTACACTATATACCTAGGAACTTGCTGAAATACAGGGTGTATAGATGTTTATCTTTATCTGCCAATGCCAACTTGTTTCCCAAAGTAGAGAAATCAACTCCCACCTATCAGTGTCTAAGAGATCCAGCCACAGTCCTCACCAACT